GTGTAGTTTCAGCAGCAGCTACTGCCCAGAAGACAAGACAAGCTGTGAGGTACACGTAGAGCAAAGGCTCCAAGAATTCCAGTTAGCGCTATCGAGATAAACCCCTCTGTATCCAACCCAGAGCCTATCAAAGTTTTAAAAAAGTGGGGTCTGACCTAGACAAGGCAGCACTGCATAACAGAAAGCTCTTCTTCAAAAGCAACCACAGCCCTTCTTCTGCATCAGGGGGCAAGATGACCTTCCTGATTTTCTTCACCCTTTGCGATCCGGGATGAACGAGCAGCAAGAAATTCCAGCAAACATGTGGAACTTCTCTTAAGGAAGAGCAGGGTAGTTTGAGGTATTTTTGGCAGATTGCAGTTCCTTGATCAGAGTTTAAATCCAGGGAGCCACCAAGCTATCACACAACAGCCACCACCTCGCTTGGGGAATAAACACGGGCAGAGAAATGGTTAATAGAATGGTGCCTTCCCCAGATCCGACCTGATCTCACCCTGCAGATTAGCATAGGGAAAACAGGAGTTTCCTCCCTGAAGAGTTTGACTTTTATATTTAAAGCCAGGCTTTGGTTTGTGGTTGGTTTGAAGTGTACAAAAGCTTCTCTTTGAGGGCTCAGTAGAGTGAACTCAAGGACAGAGGAGGGGAAACGCAGAAGGAAACTCAGGCCTTCTACTAAGCAAAGTGGTTAAGTCTCTTGAGACGCAGGAACCAGAACCAGCAAGTTTTCCAGATCGGGGGCTGGAAGACAGCAGCACCAGCCCACTTGGTCCTGATGCAAGAGGAGAACAGAGGAGATCCAGAGGATAAGGGTGCCAAGCTGCAATTTCTTAGTGCGCTCCGTTGCCAAGAGAATTTTGTTTCATAGTTTAGTGGTTTACATAATCACTCAGTGGTTCTACCAGTCCAGGAAAAAGGGATTAAAAAAAACAAAAAAAAATCCCGGTTGCATCACTTTCTCCACCCATATAATAACACAAACAAGGCAGAGTCAAAAGGGCAGCAGCTTCCAAGCACAAGATTTTCCTGATCCAGTTTTTCCCCTCACAGATGTTTTGCTTCTGGATGAAATGCCTTCATTTCTCACCTCTAAATATCTCTATGTCCTTGCCAATTGCTCTTTGTGCATTAGGGGGGTAAAAAACAAAAGACATGCAGTTGGCAAACTAAGCAGCTGTGCATGTGCCATTTCTGCAAAGAAGGGAACCCAAAGCAGTGGGAGAAAAGAATTCTCACACCAAACTACAAAACAAACACCTTTCCTCGGTTCCAACTCCCATCAAATTCATCCTGCTCCCTCTAACTGCCGGTAGCTTGTTGCTGGTTCACTTTGATCACAGTCACAGCAAGCTTTTTCCACAGGATTTAGACGACCACGAGATCAACTTGTTTTATAATCCAATATTCCTATTCCATTTTTGGAATCCTCCACTGTTTCTTCTCTTCCCACAGAGACTTCCCTGCTCCCTAACTGCCCTACATACGTGAAGGTTAAGACTACATCTGACTGCGTAAGCGCGGGCCCACTCCAGAAACTACGCAGTCCATAGTGTCACACCAGCAGGTGACATCCAGGAGGGCGATACTCCGATTTCATATTTTCCCTGGTGTCTCCCAGCCAGCCAGTCGACACCACAAGCTGCTCAGGCTGTTGCCTCCCAGCTTGCTGTGGCCACTGCAGGAAAGTCCTGATGCTTATCACGGTCTCAACCACACATGCTCAAACCCACACCCAGCGCACTATTGTGCTGGTAGGAAACAGCACCCACCACCTCACCCACGCCGCTTGAGCAGATTAGTAGTTAGTAGAACTCGAGGGATTATTTTCCTCTTTCTAAACTGAAGGTGCAAAAGAGAGTCTACTATAAATCACTATTCCATGTATAGGTTTCAGATATCCCGTCCCGCTCCCCAGCAAGGACGGCATACGTTTGCTTTGGCCAGTTGCATACTGTTTGTGCTCAGGGGCGTAGAAGACGCCTCATGCAGCGAGACACGACACAGAAAAAGCTACCAGGAGGTGGTTTTGTGTCCTAGTGTGAGGACTTCAGCTTGAGGACGTGCGATCCCCACAGGAGGCCGCGTCTCGC